AAGTGAGCACAACAGCCAGTGCTGTGCCGATCCGAAGTCAGGAGCCAGGAACTGCCTCCAGGTCTCCCACGCAGGTGCAGAGTCCCAAGTTTCAGGTCGTCCTTGACTGCTTTCCCAGGTCACAAGCAGGGAGTTGGATGGGAAGTGGAGCTGCCAGGATTAGAACTGGCACCCATATGGGATCCTAGCACATTCAAGGCAAGGACTTTAGCTGCTAGGCCACTGCACTGGGCCCAAAGAGACCTATATTCTGTTCTAGACTCCCAGGTCCTTTTGCAAGTATTTGAGACATGAAGCAAAAAGTGGGAAGGGGCCCGGTGCGGTGGCGCAAGTGGTTAAGGTCCTCGCCTAGCATGCCCGGGATCCCATATGGGCGCTGGTTCTATCCCAGCAGCCCCGCTTCCCTTCCAGCTCCCTGCCTGTGGCCCGGGAAAGCAGTCGAGGACGGCCCAAAGCTTTGGGATCCTGCACCCGCGTGGGAGACCCGAAAGAGGCTCCTGGCTTCGGACCGGCATAGCATCGGCCGTTGCGCTCACTTGGGGAGTGAATCATTGGACAGAAGATCTTCCTCTCTGTCTCTCCTCTCTGTATATCTGCCTTTCCAATAAACAAAATAATAAAAATAAATCTTTTTTTAAAAAAAGTGGGAATCCTCTCTATCTTTTTGCCTCTCAAGACGTGTGTGTGTGTGTGTGTGTGTGTGTGTGTACACACTTTAGGCATCTGAGACTCTTTGGATGAACTCCTCAACTTCAGGCCTTCTTAGACTAATGGTAAAGATGTGAGCTCTGTCATCTGGGCTTCTGATAGCCTGATGGAGCAGTGTGTCCCTGTCCTTGGGTGAGGCCTATATGGCTCACACTGACAAGGACCATGCCTAGGTGGCTTCAAAATCAGTGGAGGAAACATGCCTGCAAATCTGAAATACACTTACGAATGGCCTGCAGGAGGTCCTCACCTTCTGTCTTCCTGACCACTTGCTGCCATTCCCTCTACACACAGGAGGGCCTCCAACAGCCCCGTGTCCCATGAGTTCACCGGGAACCCTGCACCTGGAAGGGAAAACTGAATATGTGCTCTTCCTACCACCTGCATCTTTATTACTGGGGAACTTGACAAGTCCCTGAGGCTCCCTTGTGGAGGCCAGAGGGAGGGCCAGGAGCTCAGGAAACTGTGGCATTTGGACTGGGAATGGTGTGTCCCCAGGAGGTGGGAAGCCTCCAGGTGGAGGGGCGGAGACCAGAGACTGAAAGTCCCAGAGCTCTGCTTGGTATCACAACTCAGAAGGATATGCATGGGGCTCAGGCTCCTTATCCACTTAGCAGAGGGGTGTGAAGAGTCAGAAATCCTACCCCTTCCTCCCCACCCAAAAACCTCCAGCCCTTCCTCTGTCCCCCCACCCATCACCAACTCTTCCCCCTCTTGCCCCAAGGATGAGGAGCCACCAGGAAATGGGCAAGTTAGTGTGCACTGGCCTAGGAAGGGTCCCCTTGCTGGTGGAGTGACCAACTTCCGGGATTTGCTGGACAAAAGTCTCACATGCTGTGGGAACTCGTTGGCCTTGGGCCAACCAGCAGCCGGGATCCAGGCTCCCCTGGTCCCAACCTCCTGCGTGACACAGGTCTCTGCTCCTTGCGTCTCTGTCACCTCCTTAGATTTCCTGGTGCCTCTTGGGTTATTGTCCTTTGATTGCAACCTGCAGCACTTCTTGAGATGGAAGTAGCCTTCTGGACTACCTGCCCCTACCTCTTTTCTAGCTATGAATGTACATCCTGAGCTGGAGCTGAATGGGAAGCAGGACCACCGGGACACAAATCAGCCCCCATATGGGATCCTGGTGGGCACATGTAAGGCGAGAACTTTAGCTGCTAGGCTACCGCACCGGGCAGAATCACAGAGAGAGACAGTAGACGAGAGAAAGGGAGGGAGAGAAACAGAGAGAGGAAGAAGAAAAAGGGGAGGAGGGATGAGAGAAGGCAAGGGCAGGGTTTCACTCTCCAGATGCTCACACAGTCAGGGTTAGCCCAGGCACAAGCCAGGAGCAAGAACTCCATCTGGGAGGCACTGGCCATCTTTGGCTGCCTCTACAGGCACATCAGCAGGGAGCTGGACTGGAAGCACGGGGTGGAGGGACAGAGAAGACAGTGTGATGTCCCTGTCCACCAGCACAGCAGCCAAGCGAGCACTTTGCACTTTATCTCCAGCAGCCCACAGGAGGATGCTGGGCTCCACACTGTGCTGGAGGAGGCTGCACAGGCTCAGGAGAGCTGTGTGAGTTTTTAAATGCAACTGTGGTAAAAAGTGGCTTGCATAAACTTAGAAGTAAACAAATTATATATATCTATTTTAGAAAGATAACAGTTAGTCAAAATCCAGCATTTCCTAATTTGAGCCGCTGCGTTTTCTACTCAGAGGGCTCTTGCAGTTGCTTGCATGGATTCTAGCTCAAGGACAGAGACAATGAATTCAGTCAGTGAGTATGCATCTCTTCTCCTGACCACATTGGTGGCTTAGAGTCAGCCACAGGAGAAAACATTCAAACCACAGAAATCAGCAGACCCACCCAGCTGGCTCCAGCGAGGGCCCGTACATCATTGCCACATCCCTCCTGCTGCAGGGCTGGCTTCACCTCCACTGCCATCTTCCACCCTTGCCTCCAACTCCAGATCCCAATGCCTGAAACAGAGAAGCCGAAAATTTGGGTCATCATTTTTAAAAACCCCTAACAAGGCCCAGCGTGGTGGCCTAGTGGCTAAAGTCCTCACCTTGCACGTGCTGGGATCCCATATGGGCTCCAGTTCTAATCCCAGTGGCCCAGTATCCCATCCAGGCCCAAAGCCTTGGGACCCTGCATGCAGCATGGGAGACGTGGAAGAGGCTCCTGGCTCCTGGCTTTGGATCAGCTCATCTCCAGCTGTTGTGGCCACCTCGGGAGTGAATCAACAGATGGAAGCTCTTCCTCTGTCTAAATCTTTCCAATAAAGATAAAATAAATCTTTAAATAAATAACTTGAAGTCAGGATTGCAGCATGGCAAGTCCTGAGTCAGTCCACAGTCTACGTTCCCCCCACATTTTACAGAGCAAGAAGCTGAGTCCCCACAGCGCCCAGGAGTTGCCCAAGGTGAGCGGCCACAGCCCCAGTGTCTGGATACCCAGAGCAGAAGTTTCCCCTTAATAGCCTCAGTTCCACTGAGCTGAATAGTAACAGCTTCAGGAAGCAAGAGCAAGCACAAAGTTTTCTCAGATCAAAAATGTCACATCTGGCCCAGGCCACGGGTACAAAGGGTTAAGCCATCATCTGGGAAGTACAGCATCCCTTATGGAGCTGCAGTTCAGGTTCCAGTAGGCTCCACTTCTGATCCAGCTCCCTGCTAATGTGCCTAGGAAAGCAGTGGAGGATGAATCCTGTTCTGACCCCTTCAGTGAGTACCATACAAACAACCATGCCATCTGAAAAAGTGAAAGTTAAACATTTTGTTCTTGTTTTTGTCTTGTTGTTTCCGTCGGAGAGGCAAAGAAACAGACAGAGGTAGACATCTCCCAATCACTGGTTCAATACCTAAATAACCCCAACAGCCACCACTGGGCCAGGCTAAAGGCAGGAGCCCAGAACCCAATCGAAGCCTCCCTGTGGGTGGCAGAAACCCAGCTACCCAAGTCGTCACCTGCTGCCTCCCATCATGCACATTAGTGGAAAGCTGGATACGAGAGGAGGGACCAGCAGCAAAAGGCTACTGAACCCACATGCCCAAAGCTGGCACCTTCAACATGATTCTCAATGGTGAGAAGGAGAGGACAGAGGGAAGGTCACAGGCTTTTTCCAGGTGACTTGAACTTAGACATTTCCTTTCCTAGGCTGAGAAACCCACAGCAGAGAAGAGCCTGCTAGGGCTGGGAGACCAGTTCTCTATTTGTTAAAGATTTACTATTTCAAAGACAGGATGACAGAGGGAAAGACAGAGAGAGCTCTTCCATTTGCTGACTCACTCCCCCACAACACCTGGCAACAGCCAGGGCCAGGCCTGGCTGGAACCAGGAGCTGGGAACTTGAACGTGGCCTCCCATGAGTAGACGAAAGCTAAGTACCTGGGCCATCCTCTGCTAACTCCTGGGATGCATTAGCCAGAAACTGTATCTGAAGCAGAAAGTAGCTGGAACTCAAACCAGCTCAAATTCTGATGTGAGCTGTAGGTACCCCAAGTGATGGTTTTACCTGCTGCTGCACTTGACCCATAGGGACAGTGCTCATTCATTCATTCTTCCTGCCAGACATCTTCCCCAGCCCTGAGGCTTCAAAGCCAATCTTAAGGAAGGATTCCAGTATCAGAGGGCATACAACCCTGGGCAACTGAAAGGGCTGAGTTTCAGACACAAGCAATCAGCAAGCAGACTGCATGCCCTTGCAAAACCAAGGACCTGCGAGGTCAGGGCAAAGCCCTGCAGCACCTGCCTTTGTTTGGTGGGCGGTGATGAAAGAGCATCACCCCCGCCAAAGAGATGGCCCCCCCACCACCTCCTACCACAGTGACCCAGGTAGGGAGGGGACCCAGTCCAAAGACCCCCAAATGGAGTTCCTCCAAGCTTGTGCACACTCTGAGGAGGGAGGCAAGTAAAAGGGTGGGGTCGCACTGACAGATAGGGAACCCACCTGCAGGGTTCTGGCTATAGGATTCTGAGGAATGAGCCCTCAAGGCACATAGGTTCGCATTAACCTCCAAGTTGGAGCCGCTTCAGCCCCTCTCAGGTGGGGTGAGGGGAGGGCGGGGCAGGGCGGGGCTTCCCTTGAGGGCTGAGTCCTTCCCCCTCCTCCCCAGTCCCCGATTGGTTCTGTGGCTCCCTGCAGTCCTGCCAGGGAAGGACAAATGAGCAGGGCTGTTGTTTTCCCCCTTTGGCCATTAACAATCCCCCACATAAATAGTCTGGAAGGGCCTCCCCTCTCCTCACTTCTTCTCTGGCCTTTGCTCTGAGCCACACTTGCTCTCCAGCAGTGGGCAGGGTCATGGGGGACCTATTTCTACTCTGGGTGGCTGTGGGCGTATGCAGTGCCACCTCGAGTGCCTCTGCCTGGTAAGTGTCTCCACCTGTCCCCTACATCCGTACTAAGGCAACGCCTACTGTCTCACCTGTGACTCACTTTTCCTCTTCTTTGGTAGGTCAGTGAACAACTTCCTGATAACAGGCCCCAAGGTAGGATGGGTCTCCGGCTATTGCTTGATCCTGGGGGTTCTAAAGTGGGGTACTTCTGGAGGAAGAAAGGGAGGAGTGGGGAGGCAATGCCAGCATCCCTCACCCCCAAGAACCAGGATGCTCCTCAAGGGAGTCCTGCCACTTCCCCTGGCACAGGCCCACCTGTGCCACACAGTGTCTCATAGTCCATCTTCTTCTGCCAGGCCTACCTGACCTATGCTACCAGTGTGACCCTGGGTGCCCAAAGTGGCATTGAGGAATGTAAATTTCAGTTTGCTTGGGAACGCTGGAACTGCCCTGAAAATGCCCTCCAGCTCTCCACCCACAACAGGCTGAGAGGTGGTAAGTGTGCATGTAATTACCTCCATGCTGTGGCAGTGTGTGAGCAGAAGTGGCCGTGTTGTGCATGTGTGTGTGACTTGCATGCGCACAGCAAAGTGACCTGCTGACTTTGTGTCACTCACTGTCCTTCTCTCAACACCAGTTCTGTCTTTTGGGGCCAGGAAGGCCAGCTCTCTTGAGGTCACTGGCAGTATTTCAAGCAGGAATGGGTTGGACACAAATGTAAGCAATGTCTTTTTTTTTTAATGCATGTACTTTTAAATATTTATATTATTTATATATATATATTTATATTATATTTATATTATTTATAATATTGCACTGATTGACATGGAATAAAAATGGGAGAAGGCTGCCTTTGCAGCCACTGGGGAAGATTCTGGTCTGTCCTGAGGAGCCTTTGCAGCTAGCTGGGCCTCAGGTGGGGTCTGAGGGTGAGGGGCCATGTGTGTGTACCAATAGACACACACCCATGTGGCTTATGACTGTGTGCAGTGGCTTGCATCAGAAGTTGATTGTGTAGCAATTATGGAGAGTTTCCTAAGAAAAGTGTGGAGAAGTGAACAAAGATAGGGACTGAAAGAACAACTTTCCCCATAGGGGATACTACACAGAGAAAACGAGATAAAATGTGACAATATCTACCAGTAGTCCAGTGAACTGAGAGCTGCCTAAGTGACAGCTGTAACCATTATGACTGTTAGTGGCGCCAGTTTCACAGTCAGGAGGAGGAAAACCTGGTCCTGAAGCAGCACACTGCATTATCTCTCCCCACTCAGCCTGATCATTCCATATCTGGATTTGTCTTGAGTGTGTGTGTGTGTGTTTACTGCTGCCTGGAGGAAGTGAGGAGGCTGCAGGATTGTTCCCTCAGCAGAAGAGAAGCAGCATGGTTTTGGGGTCTTGCAGTGAGTCCCTCTTTCTCTTTAAAGCCACCAGAGAGACTTCCTTCATTCATGCCATCAGCTCTGCTGGGGTCATGCACACTATCACCAAGAACTGTAGCATGGGTGACTTTGAAAACTGTGGCTGTGATGACTCAAAAAACGGGAAAACAGGTATGGTGAGCTTCCTAAGCAGGAGTGGGAGGAGGTGAGGGGCTGAGCGCTGAGAACAGGCCAAATTTTTCCAGACTCAGGCTGAGAGACACAGCTCTCTCTTCAACCCCTGGACACCAGCACCTCCCTTAACTGTGGGAGTAGCTGGGCCCAGACTCTCCTGAAAGCTAAACCTGGAGGCTGTGAGGCCAGCCAGCATCTGGGAACCAGAATGCCAGAGCTGAGAGCCAGCCTTGATCTTTGTGGCTCGAAATGGCTTGTCAAGGCCTCAGAGCTGCTTGACTCTTGGCAGACCACCTAAGAGACTTAGATTTGTTGCCAATGAGGAAGGAGAGTCAGAGGATAGTGGCACCAGAATTCCAAATGTTTAAGCTGCTAAGAGACATCTAAAGTCATGGAACCAGCTCCATGGTGCCTACTTTTACTGTGGGCAGAAAATTAATTACCCAAAGCTGGCAAGTTGGCTGAAGTTGGCTGTGGAAAACTAGGACTCCACTCACCGCCCCCCAAACACCTCCATTTCCCCACCCCTACTTCAGCAGTGGCTTTACACTCTTTAAGGGTTCTTGGGGATGTATTGGCTGATCAGCAAAAAGACTTGTGTCTCCTGGGGCTTGGCAGGGAGCCATATGCAGAACTTATTCTTTCCTCACGTGTAGGAGGCCATGGCTGGATCTGGGGAGGCTGCAGCGACAATGTGGAATTTGGGGAAAGGATCTCTAAACTCTTTGTGGACAGTTTGGAGAAGGGGAAGGATGCCAGAGCCCTGATGAATCTGCACAACAACAGGGCTGGCAGGCTGGTGGGTATAGCAGTCGACCAGTATCGGCAACAGCTTCACATCTACACAGCCCTTCACAACCAACCCAGAACTACCTGTCCTAGGCCATCCAGCAGGCCAGAGGTTCCCCCAACCCCATTGTCTGGATGACAGGGCCAGTTAACTCCGAGCCATGTGGTTTATCTGAGGCAACAAAGGTACTAAACATCAGAGCCAGGCCCTGAAGTCATGCCTTCTAATGTAGTCCTTTTATCCTTGCCCCTTTTAGGCACGGGGCAAGTTTCTGAGAGCAAGAAGTTAAGGCCTTGCTTCCATTACTTAAACCGCTTCGACTGTGTATTCTAGGAAATTAGCAGGGGCTACTGTCCTGGCTGTGAGAGAATGGGACTGCTCTAGGCTGTTCTGGAGGGGGTATTCACCCTCTTAGACTTTCAGTGGGAAAGGAATTTCTGGGAATATTCTGAACTCAAATCTGGCTCAAGAAATTCCCTGTGAACCTGAACCTAGACGTCCTGTTTGCCCAGGTCAAAGGGGCAGAGGTTTCTTCAGTTGAGGCACAGCCAAGGGTCACTGATTGCTTTTGGGGTATACAGGTTTCCTTCCTTGTCAGAGGGCCCAGAGGTTAAATCTGACACTGCTCCCCCAGCCCCCAAACACTCCAGCTCCCAGTTCTAAGACAACAGTGCCAGTGCTGATGTTTTCCCCTGTAAACTTCAAAGGTCTTGATCATGATATTCTATTCCTGCTCTGCTTGTTACATACAGAAATAAAAGCTCAACAGGTGATGGTCCTGGAGTCTATATTTCCTGACCACTGTAGCCTTTCCAGGATCTTTCTGGCACTGTCAGAATCAACCAGGGCTGTTAAAAGTCACCAGGGTGAGGCCCTTAAACTCAAGAGTTTTCACTGAGAAGATGTGAGGTGGGGCCCTTTCCCAAGCTTCCCCCAATAACCCTGCAGAAAGCGCAGCTCCACCATATTCCTGCTGGCTGCCAGCTGTCAGCCCTCTCTTTTGTATTCTCTCTCCATGAAGGCAGTGAAGGCTACCATGAAAAGAACCTGCAAATGTCACGGCATCTCGGGGAGCTGCAGCATCCAGACATGCTGGCTGCAGCTGGCTGGCTTCCGGGAGATGGGCGACTACCTGAAGGCCAAGTATGACCGGGCACTGAAGATTGAGATGGACAAGCGGCGGCTAAGAGCTGGGAACAGCGCCGAGGGCCACTGGGCCCCCACAGAGGCCTTTCTTCCTAGAGCAGAGACTGAGTTGGTCTTCTTAGAGGAGTCACCAGATTACTGCACCCGCAACTTCAGCCTGGGCATCCAGGGCACAGAGGGTCGTGAGTGCCTGCAGCACAACCACAACACATCCCGAAGGGAGCGGCGAAGCTGTGGGCGCCTGTGTTCCGACTGTGGGCTACAGGTGGAAGAGAGGAGAACTGAGGTCACGAGCAGCTGTAACTGCAAATTCCAGTGGTGTTGCACAGTCAAGTGTGACCAGTGTAGGCACGTAGTGAACAGATACTACTGTACTCGCTCCCTGGGCACTGCCAAGTCCCGGGCGAGGGGCAGTGCGTGGTGACACCCCCCCCCCCCAGAGACTCACTTGCTCACTGCATGACTGGGGAGTGGCACACACAGCTTCTGTCTCTGAGAGGCAGATTGGGAATCAATGGAAAAATCATCAGGTTGTTCTGTGAATGCTCGGGAACGTGAGCCCCAGATTACACAGCACGTTTTGGGCAGAGCCTTCCTGTGCAGACCCCATCTTATCCTTCCTACAAGTTACTTTCTGGTCTTTGCCTGGACTTAATGCAGTTGCTGGGGAGTTCCCTTACATTTCAGACCACAGCCGACCCCACCAAATGTACTGCAAGGAGCCAGATGGGAGTCATAGCTTCCCTGGCTCTGGCATGCAGATGAGGGGGGTGCCCACCACAAGTGTCTTTGGGAAGGTTTTTTTTTTTTTTTAATGTTGGGGTTTTTAACCTGAGTATGCACTTTAGAAAAATTCTTCCTACCCAAACCTAGAGAACATCAGGATTTGGTGGTTTGTGCAGTGCATAACCCTTTTGGGCGCTAACGGGGGGGAAGTGGTCAGACAGTGGGCAGGTGACTCCCCTAGACAAAATCCAACAACACAGAATTTTCTCTAGAAAATGCAAAATGACCCTGTTTTGCTGTTTTTCCAGACTGGGAACTCGACTTCCACTTTATGGCATGTTCCATCTGGCTTGGATGCCTATCAGTACCCGTTGTGATCAGGATGAGAAAGGGAATGAAAATCCCTATTTCTATATTCCAATTATCCACCATGCCAAAAGACAAACTAGAAATGTCCAACCCTGTCCAACCCCTTGAATTCTGTGTGTGGCACTGACCAATAGGAAAACAACACAGATACCCAGATTTTGAAGGTGCTATTGTAATGCAGTTGAGGCGGGGCGGGGCGGGGGGGGGGGTGGAGGGGAGGATAAGGAAATCTTTTGAACTTGGGTAACATTCAAAGTGTGTTTGCTCTCTGAACTTGGGCTTCCTGAGGTGTCTGTATACCAAAACTGGACCCCCAGGGCAGAGACCTGGAGAGTTGTGGATTCTGCTCATTTACACTTCAATACCTTCCATTGGTAATCTCTGCAGGGGGAGTTTCCTATAAGGAGAGTCCCCAAGAGCTCAGTCACTGGTTTCCTAAATCCAAACGTGGAGGCCTTGGGAACCTGCCCCATCACTTGGATAAACAAATGAGGGATACCCCAAGTGTGTGGTGACAGCCTGGCTTACTGTGTAAAGGTAGTCAGTAATTTAATTGTTCAACAGTGTTAGGTCATGGCTTAACAGTGGAATATTAACTCTAAAATGATATTCTTCAGAAATATTTGGTGATACGGAAAATACTTATGATATCAATCAGTAAAAATTGATTACAAAATAGTATGCTCAGGAAGACTGCAATTTTGTCTTTTAAAAAGCACAAAAATATTCAATAGAGTGGTTTCTTTTCCCTTTATGTTTTTATGTCTTTTATTTGTCTATAATAAACATTTTTATGTCATCAGAAAAAATTTTAAATGCAAAAGGGAATAATCAATGCTTGTTCTTAAGTAAAACGGAAGGTTCATTGAAGTTGGTATCTCACTAGAAACTGCAGCAGCAGGTGCCTTCAATCCATTCTGATCTCTGTTGCCTATAGTACTGTACAGCTACCACAGAGGTAGGAGGTCAGAGATGAGAAATCCATAAAAATGTCCCTTCAACAAAAAGCTTAAAACAGCTCAGTGAAATATTGACTAAGCAAGAACGTGGGGTGCCTGTGCAGGGCCGTAGTGGGGGGCAGGAATGGAGGAGAGGCTATTTAATGGCAATCATTGTAGTACAAAAACAGACGATTAAAAAGATTGTCTCCCTTAGGGCTGATAAAAGTATCTTCTCCTTAAAAATTATGGATGTTCGACTACTCATCCTGAACCTAGAGTTGTGAAACCAAGCTAGAGAAATAGACTAGATTTCCTGCTTTCATTTGTAGCTGAATTCCCTGGCAGAGAACCCAGATACTGGCTGCTGCTGCTTTGTCACTTTCCCCAGGACTTGCTGACATACCCGTAATTTTAGCAGAGAGGTGGGTAACAGGGTAGTTCTGAAAGAAAGCCGCCCCTGCCACCCAAATGGTCACTAACAAGATTTGTGCTTCCTGTGAGATTATATCAGGAGTTTTCCTGAAAGAAATCCAAAGCAATGGAGATTCCAGGAAAAGCTTACCTAATTCTCAAACAACGACTCTGCTATTCTTCCCACCCTCTCCCACCCTCATCCATCTTACCTTCAGGGCAATCAATCACAGCAGCCAGTCTTCCTACTTGGATGCTGGGTCAAACTAAAGGAATTCAGATTTCTCTGCATCCATCACCTTCCTGTCAGGAGTTCATTCCAAGTGACATAGCATCATTCAGATTCATGGCTTACCCTGAACAAGCTATCCACAATTAAGATGACCCAACAGTAAAGCCTTCTTGTTCTATATGGGTTCTCAGGGAGGGAGGGAGACCCACAATTGCCTGATCTGATGGTGGGTGTTGAAAACCTGCAGAAAGGAAATCAAATCAAAGATGGGAACGTGTCCATGAGCCCCTTCCCCAGAGTTCACTAAATCAGACCCTGCCTCACTTCACCTGGAGAATGCACACCTACATTTTCCAGGTTTCCATTAGAAACAAACAAACACATATGCTTGCCAAGCCTACAGTTTTCTTTTCCTCATTTCCTACCTGGGGATGCCTAAGCCCACAGGGCCCGAGAGTTAGCCAGTCCACTCGGTTCTCATTTACTGGTGGATGATCATGAAAAGTTATGAGAGGAAAGGTGGAATTGATTCTCTACTGAATGACCCTCAGCTGCTTAATAGGTCTCATCTCTTTCCAGCCTCAGAACAATTCAGTTAGAACTACAATCATTTCCCTTTGTACTGCTGAGGGAGCAGCGGCTCATAAGGGTTAAGCCCCCTCACCTAAAATTCAAGGCTTGGAAGAACATTTGAATTCGTTCCTGCCACCTCATAAAGCCACACTCTTTTACACCCACACTTAAGTTTTGGGAACCCAGGGATCTGGGGCAGCATTCTTAACCATCCACTGCTTCCTGGGATGACAGTCATTCATATGCAGTGAAAGGTGTTCAGTTCCTCACACTTGTGCCATGAAGAGTCATTTTTCTCAGCTCTCTTGCAACAAGAAGAACCTAACTTTGATTTGCAAAGACATGCTTTAGAATGATAAAGCTGGAGCCTGACTCCTGCTGACTTAGGAGGCCAGAATTCTAGTTCTCCAAGGGGTGCTCAAAGAAAGACTCGCCCTTACGGTCCACATTAGAGGTCAAAGTTTCAAGAGGAAATATCAAAGGGAAGGTGTTTATCATGAAGGATTGAGAAAGGAAAAACAGGCCCACAGGAAGATACATCAATCTTTAGCCCCCCGAAATGCAAACTACTCATAATCTTCGCTAATGACAAAAGATCTAGATTGGGAGAAAATTAAACAAAAGCTAGGACTATAGCAAAAGTTTGTAGGAGAGATTAAAGACCTCCTTTTAGGCAGGCAGAGAGCTCTAAATCCCCTAATTCTGTTGCCTTCCCTATCACAGGAAGAAAGCTGGACCAGGAGAAGGCAAGTATCCCTTTCCTGCCCGGTGTCACCAAGTGACAGAGCTGACAAGGTAGGATCAGATTGCGATGTGCCTCCTCCACTAAGCCACTTTCTCAAGGCGGCCATCCTGCCGTCCCATAGCTGAGCGCTGCTGAGCTGAGTCCTGGCTGCTCCACTTCGAATCCAGTCCCTGCAAATGTGCTTGGGAAACGAGTGGAAGATGACTCAAGCTCATGGATCCCTGTTATCCACATGGAATATGCAGAGAGGAAACAGCAGGAGGAGGATCTTTTTCTCTCTGTCTTTCCCTCTCTCACATGCAGATTCTGTCAAATACACAGAAGGCAATTTTAGGAAGCAGGCAGATGGTGAGGAAGCATTTGGACCTGGAGCAGCAATGTATAACACACAGGTATTTCAAGGATGGAAATGGCCTCAACTAGGATACAGTACCTGCTAGGAACTGAAGTATCATAATCCGATGTAGCTGAGGCTGATGAAGGAAGGGGTAAGCCTGGGAAAGAAGGTTGGGAGTAATTATCCCCTAAAGCTCAGTAGTTTGGTGGAAGGAAAAAAAATGAGGGTGATTAGTGAGGAGGTGTGTGTGTGTGTGTGTGTGTGTTTAAGATTCATTTAATTTTTATTGGAAAGGCAGATATACAGAGAGGAGAAGAGACAGAAAGGAAGATCTTCTGTCTGCTGATTTACTCCCCAAGCCACCGCAACGGCCAGTGCTGTGCCAATCCAAAGCCAGGAGCATGGAGCCTCTTCCAGGTCTCCCACGCAGGTGCAGGGTCCCAAGGTTTTGGGCTGTCTTCGACTGCTTTGCCAGGTCACAGGCAGGGAGCTGGATGGGAAGTGGAGCTGCCAGGATTAGAACCAACACCCATATGGGATCCCGGTGCATTCAAGGCGAGGACTTAAGCACTAGGCCACTGCACTGGGCCCCTTACTATATATTTTCAAATATGATTTTACTTGTTTTGAAGCAGTTACACACACACACACACACACACACACACACAGAGAGAGAGGGAGAGAGCTTTCATCTGCTAGTTCTCTTCCTAAATGGGTTTAATGGTCAAAATTGGGCCAGTCTAAAGCCAGGAGCTTTATCAAGGTTTCCATGTGTGTGCAAGGTCCGAGCATTCACTGCTTTCCCAGGATCGTTAACAGGGAATTAGATGGGAAGTGGAGTAGCCAAGGCTTGACCTGGTGCCCATATGCAATGCCAGTGTTGCATGTGCCAGCCCCCTTGGTATTCTGTTTAACTTATTTTAATCTAAATAAAAATGTTATAGAGTAGAGTCAGACTGCAGCCACCAGTGTGTCTAGGCTTCTGTGGGTGACAGACTGAGCTGGACCCTGCACAGGACACACAGCAGTCAGGTCTGGTGAGGTTTCTTTTGGACTCCCCCAACTGAATCACTGGAATCAGAACTCCAAACCACAATAAAAATCACAGTACATGTGTTTTAATCATGGAATGCTTAATCATAGTATTAGAACTGTGTCTCCTTGATTCCTGAGGCCTGTGGATGGCATGCCCAGATGCACATTGGG